AAAAGTTCTCTTTTGTTTTGTAGTATTTTTTAGCCATAATAGGATAATGACTTTGAATTGCTTCCTCAGAGGCATGTTTGTAAATGTCAGGGGTGGTTGAGATGGTGCATGTTTGAGAAGGAAGGTCTCGGGACTAGAGCTGGGCAGACATGACCATTGCCAGCATTAGTTCTGTGTCGCTTTTCTAACGTGGAAATAATTAAGGCTTAAGCATTTTCCTTTCAATTCTAATGAATATTTCTAAGCCATTATCTTGTTTCCTCTGTTAAATGACAGCATCCTGGGAAGAAGCTTTATTGATATTTGCAGTTTTAGATCTCAGACCGCATATAGGTGGTGGATTACATATAGGTGATGAAAGGATGCTATTGCAATTAGACTGACTTCAAAGAATGATTTGAATTTTGAGGGATCTCTGAATCAGCTCATTAAAAATGGTAAAAATGATTCTGTTGATCTTAACACTGAGTTCTGAGAAACATTTGTCATTTGATACTTACACATAATCCTTAAATTGACATCATTCTCATATTCTTTTTCTTCTCTAATATCCTGAGTGCAATTTAATTGATGGCTGTCTCAGCTTCACTTTTGCTTTTTTGTCAAAATATCTATTTGTGTGTTAGGTTCTTGTTTTTGTAGGAATCACATTTTCAAAATCAATGGCCTACAGTTTCTTCAGTTCTTAAAACTATAGACTTGTTTTTTTCTTTTTCTGTCTTTCTCTCTTCCTCCCTTCCCCACCACCCTCCCCCTGCCTTCTTTCTTTTTTGGCACCCACATGAGACTTTGGCTACTCCCCTCCCAGAATTAGTTGTCTTTCCTTTCACAAGAATGTCTGATTTAAAAATATTTCTCAAAGATAAAAAGTAAAACTAATGTTTTAATATCAAGGAAGTTAAATATTTTTTAAATGGATAGCTTCCCCAACAGAATTGAAAATTTTGCATAACTTACAAAGTATAATTTTGATATCACTCAAAAAGAAATTTTATATGGAGTATTTTAGAGTTTTTCCATATCCTTTCATATGGGAGATATCTGTATGTTAACTTTGCAGAATATTTAATAATGTGATGACACAAAACAAAGATCTTCACTGAGGTAGATAAAGATAACTAAGAGCTCATTTTAAAAATATTGAATGAAGATTTAAAACATTTTTTCTCGTAAATGTAGTAATTTTATGGTCCAGTCTTAGGGTACACATGTAAGTGTGTGGTTGTTGAACCTTGCTCCTCTTCTAAAGCGAAAATCTCATTCATTTAAAAAGATCCAAGTTGGACACATTTTGCTTTCATTGCTCTGGCAACTATGTACTAAGTAAAAGTAGTTTAAACAGTCACCTCATCATTAAAAGAACTTTCCTTTGCTAACTAATACTGACTTGCAAAACTGATGCCAAATAGAGTTAGATGGGTTTCCTTTCATAAACGGTGCTTTGCTAAGGAAACAAAATATAGAGGAAGAGTAATTTTTTTTTTTTTTACATTAGGTTATTAAGTACATTTCATGATTGTTTAAATTGATCATTTCTGACTTGGATCAACAGCTGGTGTTCTGCGTACAGATGTTAATAAATAATGCTGTGTACAAATTCAATTAAATAATCGTGAAAATGGTAAAATTTAATGAAAGGCATCTAGATCAAAGGAAACCTAAGTTTTGGACCAAATGCTTTGTAACCAAAGACAAATTGATAGACCTCTCTACACCTTAATTTCCTTACCTATAAAATAAGAGACCCAGATAGATGGTCCATTTTTATGACTATAATTTTATGAGTGTTATGGGAATAAATTTTATTTCCGTTTGCAGTTCAGAAAGGTAACTCTTTTTGAATTATTTCTTTTCAGTTAGGTATGAATATCTCCTGCAGGCATCTTCCATCCATCTCTTCCAGATTAGCTGTCTTAAATGTTTTTCCTTCCCTTTCTTACCGATAAATTTGGACTCTTTCTTGACACTGATGACAACTTCAGTATCCTTGTCACCTTGCAGACTTTAAACATAAAAATACTCATTGGTTTTAAAAGGAGAAAAAGGTATATATTAGGACTATGAAGCCTGGCCTTGAAACATTTCCTCTCTTTTATTAAATGTCTGTTACCTGAACAGAATTTATTTTAGGATGGGAAGTGGGAGAAGAAAGGAGCTAGATGCATTTGAGAATGCAAGTATTGCATTACAAACATTTTAAATGCCTTCTTAAAGGGAACACACATGGGAAGGTAGTAACTAATTTATTAAGAAGTGTTACTGCTTGTCTGATACTAATTAGGGCAAGCATCTGGGTATATTACCTTTTTTGAAATTGAAATATGTTTTTTAAAAACATAAAGTCATCTTAGAGTCATCAGTACAGATTGTGTAAGAATTTTAACTGGATTTTGTTTGGTCTTAGATTCATCATTTTTTTTCTTCATTAGTCTGTGTAATTTTATAAATGTCAGACCTATTTTTATTTCTTGAAAAGCTGATGCGACAGAACTGAGTGTGTGTGCTGATTATTAACCAGTACTTTTAACTGATGGAATATTCATTGCCAAAAATCATCAAGATATTTTTGTTATAGTTTAAGTGTCTTCCTTTGAAAACAACGTTGTACTTTTAGAATGTGAATCATTTCTTTTGTTAATAATGATGAAAGGTGAAATAGAACAGATGAAGAAATACTTGCATAAACTTAAGCATATTAATTACAAGACAAGGTTGTAACCTGTGGAGGAAGGGATGCCTGGTGGCTTTGGATTACTTTGGGACAGTAACTTTTCTCTGTGCCTTCTGTCTTCAGAAATATTTTGAGGAAGAAAGATTAGAATCTTGTTGCAAAATAATCAGAAATTTCTTGCCATAACAAAGCTCAGTTTACAAAATCACAAGAGACCAAAATGACTTAGAGAAAAAAGTAAGAAAACCTGGCTGTGCTTCTGGTTCCGCAGGGAAATGAGGGAATCCATATAAAATTATGTTTCTTCATCTGTACAGTGAGAGTGTGCATTAGATGATTATTGACTTCTGTTTCACTCTACTACTCTGTGAAATTAAGATCATACTATGTACCTCCCCCCCACCCCTATTTCTCAAGCCTTTTATCCTTTGGCCTTCAGAGAGTGAAATCAAAACAAAGTCTCTCCATTTTGAATTTTCTTTTTTCAACTGATTTCTCCTTTGCTCTTCTGTCCAAAAGAATGAACATGTTTGTCTGCTGGACTCGAGTCAAATGAAAATGTAAACTAGGAAAATCATAGCACAGTGCCTTTGCTTGTACAGGTGTGGCTCATGTAAATCCGGGAAGTCCGGTAGAGTTCTTATACTTATTTATATACTGAAGAAGAAGATGTGCTTGTTGAACCTTGAGTAAAGGATCACTAGACATCTTTTTGTTCTTTCCACGGTGAAGATACATTTATCTAATCTTACTGTGATGGGAAATGTTCATCTCCTGCAGTTATTTCTCGTTTTTTGGGGATACGGTCATTAGGAAAGCATAAAGTATACGACTCAATGCTTAGGTATTTATGTATAGATTTCTTATAATCAGTTATGTATTTGCTTAATTACAGAATGTGGCCTCATGAGTTATCCTTTCAGATATTAGAAGTTAAAATACATACAAGTAAGTGTGTGTGTGTGTGTCTAACATATATATATGCACATGTATGTATACAGTTTATTTCCAGAATTTCTAAATCCAGAAAACTCTGAAACTTGAAACAAAATTGTGAAATTTGGCCCATTAATGGCAAACTGATCTGAACTGACATGAGTTTGTTTATAGTGGGAACGTTCATGCCTCTCTCCAGATATATTTTTATTTTTGATGATAAGGTGTAAAATGTGCACTCTGTTAACTTTCTAAAATATGAAAAACTCGGAATTTCGAAATACACCTGGCCACTGGGGGTTCAGATAAGAAACTGTGATCTCTACCATCTTGATTTTCCCAAGGGGATTATTAGCTTGTGAGCATAAGAATATTGGTTTTTTTATTGTTGCTGGCACTGGAAATAATGTGATAAAGAGACAGTAATTTAGTGCTAGCCCCTAAGAAAGGCTGGAACTAGACTCTGGAAGAATAAACTACATATAATATGGGAGAGAATCTTAACAAACACAAAACATACCATAGGACTTATCCATAAAAATTAGTGCATAGTACTTGTAATTTTTAAAACCAGTTCTGTGCTTGCTATAAATGTAAACAGGGTTTTATACAGATTTGCTAAAGATGGTTAAAAAGAAATTCTGAGTAGAAATAGTTGATATGCAGACTGATTTTGCATAAAAACTAATTAACAGATGCGTTTGAAACGTTCAGTATATTGTTGAGTAATTTGGCTTTGAAAACAAAGGAGTAAAATTGTTTTTTTAATGACAAATGCAAATGACATACAATAGTTTTTATTCAGCAGGTAGTATGTTCTTTCTTTTTTTGGTAACTATAGGAATTAAACTGAATAAGTCTCACCTAAAAGTGCTTTTTTATCTGTGACTTAGGGTCATAGAAGACTGATTTAAAATGGACGAAAAACTTGCTTCTGACATAACAGATGGTGTCTGTTATACTCTCTGGTGGGCAACTCGACTTTTAAAAAAGAACTGAAGATTCAAATTGCTAATATCAATACTTTATGGAAAACATTTCTTTTGCTTGAAAAAGTCTTTATATTTAATAATCCTTGAAGTAGTTTTTTAAAAGCTTTTAAATGATTTCCTGATTGACTTTAACTTAAAAACTTTTAAGGGATTCCCTGATTGATTGACTTTAACTTAATATTTTATAATAAGTCAATTTTTGAAAGATTATATTAAGCTTTAATAGTATTTATATTTAAACTTTAATTAAACTGTATTGAGGGATAGAAATAGTGGTGGTTAAATAATTTAGAAAATGACTTATCAGTTAGGGACTCATAACCTCACAATTTGTTACACCAAAAAAGGGTATTTTGTCAATATCTATGGTAGAACCTAATGTCTTTACTATCATTTTCCATCTCTTCTTATCATGTAAGTCTTCATTTTAATATTCATCATGGTTACTTGTTTCCCTACCAGGTCAACTTCCCTACAGTTCTCTACAGATCTGGTTCTCACCTTGTTCACCTGTAGTACTCATCAATTTCTAGTGTATTCTCAAGTATTACACTTACCTCCAACAGTCTTCCTTAAGTGACCTTGTCCCATTTGGAACATTTCCTTACTCTCCTCACACTCTGTACATTAACTGTACATTAGAAGAGTTTCTAATGAAGAAAATGAACTTACGTGTACTTTGTTATGAGAAGTAATTTTGGAAAGCATTCAGAAGGTCTTGAGGGAACATAGGATGATATTAAATGTAAAAATATGAATAAGAGTGATACAAAGGCTTTTAACATTGAACTTTATCTTCCTCATTTTTAAATGGAGGTTTTATTGAAGATCCCATATAGATATTTATCTTTTTTTTTCAATTGGTATATGTGAAATTCATAATAATTTATGAAGGATTTCTTGAGGGTAGAGAGAGGGGTTGGGAAATCTCATGACAGAAATTTTAACGTTTTCCTTTTTACTTGCCCTCTTAAGAAAAAGAAAGAGGAAAAAGAGAAGAAAGGACTTTATGATGGTGTAGGAGTATCCAGTTCTTCATTTGCTTTGGGCTGTCCCTAGATGGTGAAAGTGATGATTATCCTACATACTTAACCTGTATGTGATAACAGAGGGCAGCATATTAGTGAATTTTTTGCTGAAAATCACGTAATCATTTTAAACAAGTTGCAATTTGTAAGTAATGTATTTACTGTTATATAAAATTGATTGTTTTTCTATTTCATGTCCTTAGAAATGTGTAATTCTCAACCAAATTGCAAAATGTTCCCAGGATGGTTGGTATACATTTTCTTTCTCAGATTGAACAAAAAACGTTAATAATGTGCTCTCTCTCTCGTTCTCTCTCTTTGCTTTTCTCTGTAACCAGAGAAATTTCTTCATTGACTTAACTGAAGCTAAGAGGTTTGCCTATTTTTAGAAATTAGAGAAGTGACTTTCCATGGGTGCTGGAGTTTTCCCATTTTCTTCAGTGAAATTCATAGTGCCAAAATCAAAGATGCCAAGGCACAGATTTAACCATGCATTGCCTAAAAAGGGAAGCTGAGACAGTGTGTTATTTATGCCCACCCTAAATCGAGACTATAACAAGATTATATATGCAGAACCAAGTGTTAGACAAACCTATATTCTAGAGCCTCAGTATCATTAGTTATCACTGTAATGTATCACTATAACAGAAATTAATCATGAACAAAAGGGTTTGAAGTGACTGGAAGAACATTTATATAAGCCAGATTGATGGTTGCTTCTCTCATGCGGTAGTGCTGTAATAGGACTCAGTTTACATTTGTTTGGTTCCCCGGGAGCTATCAGAACAGAAAATATTCTGTTTATTTGCATGGCCTGCAAATATTGAAATTTCAAGACCTTCAAGTGCCCTTTACCGTTTGTTCAGATTTTATAATCAGTGTTGCAAGTATCAAATGTAATATTTTCATGATTTTGAGCATGTTGAATTATAGATGAATGTCCTTCAACCCTCTGCATGTAATGTACAAACACAGTGTGACTCCTTTGTTCTCACTTCACGACATTATACAATACAATAAAATTCACAATGATTTGCTTCATTGAGACACATTATAGGCCAAATTATATCCCTTAAAATATTACATATGTAAAAAATCTATTCCATGAGTGAAAGGCGAGTGTTACTCATCTCTCCTAAAATCAGACTTACAAAGACACTTAAGTTAACTGGATTTAGGTTGGCTTATCTTTGATAAGACATAAAGTACTTCTTACTCTACCGTATTTTAAGAGTCATTGTGTACATGGCAAGGAAGCTATATATATATATATTTTGAGCACTTCTTAGGATGCAATATGCATATATATTGAGCATCTGGGAAACAACAGTGAATAAGATACATAGAGAAATTATATATAGTAGGGGAAAGAAGCATTGATTGGATGTTGACCCCAATTATAGCTGTGAAAAGTTTTAAGAGGGGCTCGTAAAGGGCCGTATGGCAGTGTTTAGTAAAGGGTCTTAATCTTGTCTGCATCAGATTGGAAAAAGTAGGGTGAAGCTGAGAGGGAGGGGTCTTGAAAGTAAAAATGTGACTTGATTGCTAAAGATGTATAGGATCTAGCCAGAGATATAGAGGTGTTTCCCCCATTTTATTAATGAATATACTCTTATTTGGGTTGTGAAATAGTTTTTAAATTAATTCTAGTAGTTTTCCTCTAGAGGTATATTTGATTAATATTAAAACATTTATTCCCAGAAAATTTTGGAAGAAAAGAAAGCAAACATCATCAGCAATAAAAACCATCAGTGATCCAAGAAACCTTCTCTCCAGAGAGTATACCTTATATCCCCCTTCCCCCACCCCAGAAGCCCTATACAACTATAAATACATTTTAATTAAGATATGTAAATACAAATTTTTAATAAAAATGGGGTTACAGTATTATTACATTACAGTCTACATCTCTTTTAGTGACTGCAGACCTTCATAATAGATACACCATTATTTATTTAACCAATCCCTGCTTGTGAACCTTTTAGTTACCTCTCACTTTTTCACAACCCACAAATATTTTAAGCAAAGTCTACTGTATTTATAAATTTTAATCAGCTTAGCACCTAAATTAATCTGGCATTCATTTGTCAGTTCCAGAGCTTTTCTGCTTATGTTTGCATACTAAAGATGGTTCAGTGAGAATTAGTGGTACAGACATTTAACTTATCAAGATATATATTCTTTACTGAAAAAAAGTCATTTGTAGCGCCATGAATAGGAATAATTTGCATTATGGTTTTTTTTTGGTGTTGTTTTTTTTTTTACAACTTAGCTTTTATCTCTGCAGGATATAAAAATAGCTGAGTTAATCAGAAACCCCTTTAGAATCAGAGAATCTCTGCAGGGTCCAGTATCTCAGTGGAAAACATTCAGTATCTGTTTTGCTCATTTTCAAGTTTTTGACAGTTTTTCTTTGTAGCCTTTCTCCTGAAAGCATAAGTAATTTACAAAGGTAATTCTTCATCAAAAATAAATAAATAAATAAAAATGCTGCAGTGAGAATGTTAATTGGCCATAGAGGCCTCCTTGAGTTTGCAAATCTAGAACCATGAGCTGTTGAGGTGATTGAGAAATTTTTATTAAAAACCTTGGACTGGATTCTTAAAAGTCTCTGTTATTTACTTCTCTGAGGTTAGGAAAACAAAACCAAGGAACTCTCCAACACATTTCATCTTTAGTACCTGTGTAATTGGGTGAATTTCTGTCTGGTTGAGGCTCCCAACATTTGCCAAGGTTCCTGTCTTGACTGAAAGTGACCTTTCTCTCCCTCTTGTAACTTTGGGAACCTATCAGCCAGGTGTTAGGCCAGTTTTCTTGGGGGACATTGTTAAGCATTACTTCTACATGTAAGGTCAATCCTTGTCCCTCAGTAGTTGCTTGTCATTCCTGATTAAATAAAAATCATTTTCAAATATATTATAGTGGTAGCTTTGATTACACAATTGATTTGTCCAATAATATTCTGGTAAAAAGAGAGGGAAAGTTCTTATTGAACCTATGAAAATAACTATATGCTCATGGAAAGTAATGACACATCGTTTCTGAATTCTGGAGAGATGAGGGAGAATTAGATACTCTCTTAAAATGTTTTGTTTGAGTTTGAAAAGCAGTGTCTACCAAATTGAAAGTTAGGTATGGCTTAAAAGGAAAAAAAAAGATGAAAGTCATCCTCACATATCCATCAGAAAATAGAATATTAAGACAGCATCAGCAATATCTGAACTGAACAAATACCTACAGTTAAATGGTACTTATACATTAATTCAGTCTTCTGTAATTCTTGTTTCACTGGATCTAGGGTCAGCAGAGTCTCCCTTGATGAATCTTCTCCCACAGGAAAAATCAACATACTAGTTTAGTGTTGAGTTTAGACATATATTCAAAACTGGTATTATACTTGTTACACCTGCCATCTTTCCTTTGCTAAAACCATTTGCATGCCTCCTTTTGTGTTATATATTTGTTATTTTGAGGCTACCTTTTAGTTACATATTCACTGGCTGAAGAGTGAATTGCATTTGTTAATTGAAACTAGTAATCAATTAACTTTGTGGTAAAAATATGTCAGATTTAAGGTACTGTAGTACCCTTGTTTTCAAATAATTATACTTTCCACATTAATCTTGTGAGAACAGATCATTTTTCAAAAGCTTAATGAAGAGTGAAAGGCTTCTTGATTGTAGCAAGCACTTAGAAATACTGTTCTGTAGTCTAAAAGTATTCTCACTCTCCTGTCGAGTTGCTGACTTTCCAAAAGTCTGTTGTCCAGAAACAAACAGGAAAAGCAGTGGTTAGGACTACAGCTTGCCAAATCCAACTTTATGTACATATATACATATTGAAACAAAATAACAAACCAAATGCCTATGAAGGACTAAAAAATCATTTAACCATAAGGAAAAAAAAATATTACACCCTAAAGAAAATGACCTTATGTTTGACAAACAAAAATAATAAGACCTATGAACTTACAACTTTTCTTGTGTAGTATCTAATTTATTACCATTGATTTTAGGTCACAAGTTCTATAAAATGTGTGAATATTTCTTAAAATCCTAAGTGAATCACTCAAGTATACCTTTGTAACAAAAATCATAAAATTAAATTAAGGCTATATAAGCCTATGAGTTTTTATTTCAAATAGCTTGTAGATGTTCACATTAAAACATCTCAAGTGGCTTGATAGCTCCGTGTACAAGTTAGGATGATTTTGGTTGTAAGAAACAAAAAAATATTTTAGGCTGGCTTCAAACAGCAAAAGGGGGGGGGCGCCTGGGTGGCTCAGTTGGTTAAGTGTTCGACTCTTGATTTTGGCTCAGGTTGTGATCTCTGTCAGGGTCGTGGGATTGAGCCCCACATGGGTCTTCACGCTGAGCATGAAGTCTGCTTGTCTCTCTCCCTCTGCTCCTCCCCCGACTCAACACACTCCTCTCTAAAATAAATAAATAAATAAATAAACAAATAAACAAAGAAATAAATAAAATCAATCTTGAAAAAAAAAGACAGCAAAAAGAAAGTTATTTGTTTCTTGAAAAGTTCATTGATAAAGAGATTTAGTTTGATCAGGCCTCTGCTTCCATGTCTGAAATTTTCTGGGCGACCTTTCTGTTTACCACAGGTGTTAGAAGGCTGCCAGCTGAAATTAGGCTTCTCTGATTGGCTTATCCATTTGTTCAGTTCTTTTCTCCCCTGGGAGAAGGAATTCTCCTGCAGACCCAAAGGCTTTCATATCCGGAGGGGAAGGAAAGGAATGGGTAATGAAGAGGTCTGCTACAGAATTACTTTGTATCTTCTCATGCTGGAGTTTTGGGGAAGGGGAGGGAGTTAAGAAATATGTTCACTGATTGTCTCCTCCCATTACACAGGCTTCTTTCGTCCACTTATCATCTTCCATGTAATCCACTTGACAATACTAGGAAGTAGATGTTATCTCACTTCACAGATAAGCAGAAGGAGATTAGCAAATTCTTTTTCTCAGGCTCACATGGCTTGTGAAGGCATATTCTGAAGTCTGTGTCTTCTGCGCTCTTCACGCTGTAAACTAAATCATAGTTGCTAAGTAATTTTGTGAGGAAGGTTATTCCAAGTTGGAAGGTCAAAGGATTTATACGTTTGTTAATAAACATTCATTCCACAATTAATTACAGTGTTCCTACTATATACTAGGTATATGATAGTTGCTGGGAGGTTAAGGTGAAGAAAACAGAAGTGCCTTCCATTCTTATAGATTTAGTGGGGGAAGCAGATGTTAATGTCATGCAAATGAATGTATAATTACAAAACTGTGTAGCTGCTCTAGAGTAAGATCTAAGTCTGGGAGGGGTGATCACGAAGTTTTTTCCTAGGAGGTGACATTTGAGTTGAGATCTGAAGGATGAGAATGAGTTAACAAGGCAAAAAGGAGGAGAGAGCATTTCAGGGAGAGGGAATGTGGCAGGCTTAGGAAGTGAAGGGGGTCCTTTTTGTTGCAGCCCAGAGAGAACGCAGGACAAGACCGGGATGAGGCAAGTAGATAGACTGTATCCTGCAGGGTCTTCAGGTGGTATTAAGAATTGTGCTTGATATTCCATAAGAAATTATCTTGGAAAGAGCTGATCTTAGGTACTTTAAGGATTTGAGCACGTTGCCCGGGTAATATCTTAGTATTTATTGCAGTTATCTCTCTGAATATTTGTAGTGTTTTCTTAAAACATGTTTTCTTGCCTCAACAAAGCCTTACTTCATTTTTAGAATTATTTTATCATATTCAGCTTTCCAGTCCTGGCATGTTGTGTAAATCATTTGTAGCAGCTTTAAACGTTTTATAGCCATGTGTAACTTGAACCTAGATATAAAACAGTGATGGGAAAGACATCTATATTTTAGCGAATATTTATCAAAAAGTATGTTGAATTAGTTGCAAACTGTACAGAGAAGAAAAGTCCAGACATTAAACTTCGGGGAGGAAATATGGAAATAATATTTATATATAATAAATTTAATGTTGGTGACTTGGCATGCTCTATCCACTCTTCAGGTCTTGTTGAAATTGCATTTGTGACCTCCCTTTTATTTTTGGTTATAATCAAAGAATAAGAGAAAAAGTTGGCTCTTTCCTTTCCTAAGGCCGTATAAAAAAATTTGCTCATACCATATAGTATATTAATATCCTAAATAAGGCATGCATCTGGGTTACTAATTGAAGTTGAACTTAGGTCCTTCAAGTTCATCTCTGTTGAGAAGATGGTTTGCTTAAAATTCTAAGCATTTGATCTATAATATAATATTTAAGCATGAAGTTGCTGACTCAGCCAATTCCCTAAAAGTCACACAAATGAACATCATTACTTTAATCTTGTTACATCACTTACTGGAAGTATAACTTTTAAAAATTATCAAAATAAGCTTCAAAAGTAGGAACATATGTATTATTGAGTAACAGTGTTTATCGGGCAAGCATCTTCACCCTTTTATCTTTGTAAACGGTAATATAAATTGTCCTGCATCAGCAATTTATTTCATTGGCAGGAAAGATGTGTCTTCTCTTCTGGAATGAGAGCTTAGTTCTCTTGTCTTGATGTTGAAAGCTGCATAAGAAGGGCGGGGCAGGTATATATGTGTGGTTGTCATTATAGGCCTGACTAAAGCATGTTTGCTCCTGGCATGGAATATATGATGTCCCAACAAATCCCTTTTCAAACATTTTCTGTACCACTTCCCTCTTCTGCCTAGGAGAACTGACATTTCCTTCTATACTTTCACGATAGGTTAAATAAGAACTTTCCTGTGTAGTGCTCGCCGGACAAGGGAACTAGTGAAGTAATGATCAATTTGAAATGCTAACACTTCTGCTTGTTTGTATTGAAAGTAACTGTGATGCTTCCATTTTTTGGAGCAAAGATCTTCGCCTACATTTCGGCTCATGCTGTCAAGACTGGTAATAATACAAGTATTACCTTCTGTATGTAGATTTGAAAATGAGAAATACAGAGAATACCTATGATCTTGGCATTCAGAACCCACTCTGTTCTGGATATCACAAAAAGCCTGTGAAGAGAAGGTGATGGAAGAGCTGGATACTCCCATGCAAGATGGTGTGGACCCACAGGGGGAACTGTTGGGTACCAGCATTTGCTGATTTTCATCAAATATTTCAACACTTGCCAAAGCAATACGTATTCTGTCAAGGACTGTCATGGTATATCCTCCAGTAATTTTGGAAAAAGATATGATTTGTTCGTCTGTTCAGAAGCTATTTTTTGAGTGATAAGTTACTGTGTCAAAGCCCTGGGAATTTGAGGATGAAAATGTTTGGTTTGTACTTTCAGTCTAGAGATGAAGTGGGACATAGGGGAAGAAACATCCATCTGCCTGGGTTTTGGGAGAAGTTTCATAGGAAGTTGTCCTTGAGATTGAGTCTTGAGGGGAGAAGGGGAGTTTGTTCCAGAACACTAAGTCTATGTGTAGGAATAATAATAATGATAAGGATATTTACTGATGAAGCAGCTAATGTTTATTGAAAACTTTGGTGTGCTTGGTTTCTTTTTTGTCTTCAAAGTGTTTTACATGTATTAACCTATTTACGCCGAAGAGATAGAAAACTACAGATTGGAAACTGAGTCAAAGAGTGTTAGTTACCTGGCCCTTAGTCATCACACAGTTAATAATGGAGCCAGATTTCAAATCCAGAGTCTGGAGCCACTTTCCTTTGTGTGAATAAAATGACCTGTTTTGGAAATGGTAAAACTTGAAGTGATTAGAAGTTCAGGTCTCTGGGTATTTGGCAGGGTTTTGGCTGGTCAGAGAGTTATGGGTCAGATCATGAAGAGCCTTGGAAGACATGCTGAAGAATTACCATTAATTTTGTAGAATCAGTATCTCTTTTTTTTTGGAAACAAGGTCTAGAGCTTACTTTCCTCAGAATCATTTGGGGTGCTTTTTAGAAATGCACACTCCAGATCCCACTTCAAATCGACTAACTCAGACTTTCCCTGCTCCTGAAAGTGGTCGAGTGTCTTGCACCCTGATTATGGTCAAATAGAAAGTAGATCTGTAGTTCCTAACAGCAGGTACTGCTATTATGTGCGCCAAATTTCTTGGTATTTAATTTGTTGAGTTGAAAATTAATGTAAAGAAGGCAGTGAGTTCTGTTTTGTATGAGTTGGGTTTAATTTCCTTGCAGACTATCCTGTTCAAATGTGGGGAGAAATAAAAAAGCTGCCTACTTGATTTGGAGATAGGGAATTTTTGAGCCTTCTGCTCATGGCTGGTAGGAGACTCGTGGATATAGTTGAGATTACTCATGTGAAAAAATAGAGCAGTCAGCATGACTGGAAAGCATTGAAATAGGAAAACAGCATGAAATGTGAAATATCAAAAGTCAAGAGACTTAGAAGACCATCTTCAAAAATAAAAGGGGACCCAGCGAGAGGTTGGATTCAGGAACCAAGAAAAGAGGGTTTCATGATGTCTTTGTTTTTATTAAATGCGTCTTAGAATTTGTGTAAGAAAAGGACTAGGAAAAAAAAAAAAGACCAGTGCTATTGTGAAGAAGAATTTCGGTGGGGTCCTAGGAGTGGAGGCCAGGTTGGAATGTGCAGGTGCAAGTGGGCAGGTGGCAAAAATGGCTTAGATGACTCTTGGCAAAAACTTGATTTTAAGAAAGCAGATGGAGTGATAATTAGAAAAGGTTACAGGGTAAAGGGAGAGCTTAAATATTACAAGCTTCCCCGTTTTTATTTCATACTTATTAGAAAGATTAAAAAAATACAGATAAAATAAAGTTTCCTTTCACCCAATAAATAAGAGATAACAAACGTTGAAATTTGTCGTTATTTTTCTAGCCATGCTTCTATTAATATGTATTTGTAGTAAATAAATATGTATTTACATATTTTTAATGAAAATATGTTGTAGCTGTCTAAATTTTTGTATGTACCTTAATGTATCAGAAACACGTGTCTCTTTCATTGCACCATTACTTTTTCACAGTTGCCTGGTGTTACATTATATGTATATAATAATATTTTTTAAAGATTTTATTTATTTATTTCACAGAGACAGATAGTGAGAGCAGGAACACAAGCAGGGGGAGTGGGAGAGGGAGAAGCAGGCTTTCCTGCAGAGCAGGGAGCCCGATGCGGGGCTCGATCCCAGGACCCCGGGACCATGACCTGAGCCAAAGGCAGATGCTTAACGACTGAGCCACCCAGGCACCCCAATAGTTTATATAATCCTATTATTGGCATTTTTGCTTTTCTGGGTACTTCTTCGTTTTAATAGCACTACCATTAATATCTTTGTGAGTGAATCTTTTCACACTTCCGTAATTACAAATTTTTTTATTAATTTCAAATTGTGGAACAAGTTCCCAAATGGAGCCTTCATTTATGGCATCTATAAATCAACTAGATGGATTAGTCTTAGATAAAAGAACAGACATTTCCATCTTCCTGGGTGCAAGGAGAAAAGTATTAGCTTATAGGTGGTTGGTGGGAGAAAGAAATGAGAGAATGCCTAGAGGGAGTAACCATATGATGATCTGTTTTATCTTAATGCGGATGGTTGAAAAAGCAGGTTGTTCAGGATGTTGGAAAGTTGTGAAGGTTTGAAAAATCTACCAAGAAGAAGACGCAGAAGTGGGTATGAGGGCTTACTGAGCAATGAGCAAGGTTGTGCAGAGCTGGCATGGGGCACCATATGTCTGCAGAGGGTCTGGATGCTTTGGATCCACTCTCCACTCCAGCAGCATTCAGAGCCCAGGTGTAGGGAGTGGAGACATGACTTATCTATGGTTTGGTGGTTCTAGGTTTGGTAGATACTCTGCATGGGCAAAATAGGGGTACACAATGAAGGAGTTGAAGATGGTGTGGAGAGAGCAGTTAGGGCTCTACAGTCTATACATAAAGAAGGAAATGAAGCTGGAAGGGACTATAAAGAGCACAAAGAGTGAAAGAAAGCACAGGGATTGGTGGGTGTCAGTGAGTAGGAATAAAGGAGTGAGGGTTGAAGAGTTATAAAATTGTGGCTGAAAAGTGGGACACTGGGTTGAGATTATAGAAGGAGAGCAATTATGCTTCAAGCCAAGGTCCAAGGTGTAGCCATGGATTTGGTGAGCTAAAATAAGGGAAGATGAGGTCATGGAACCATATGCAGCTTAACGTTGTCCATATGGATGTGGGTGATGTGAGGATTTTTAAGTAAAGAGACAGAGTGCCCTAGAAATTCCTAATCCTGGATAAATGACGAAACAATTGGTAGCTAATAATGGTAAATGATGGTGCTATAGCTCATTGACCTGGGTATTTAGAAAATGTTTATGGAAGATAAAAATGATAATGAGTGTGATAGTGAATATTTTGGGAAGTAAATGGCATCAAAATAGCCAATGTAAGCTTCTAGCATGCCAAGTCACCTTCTAGCTTGAGATGCAAGAGTTGGTTGTGGAGATGAATAGCCCAACAGTGTCTTTTTCACCCTGTAACGCTGAACATTGGGGAAGAGGTGTCAGAGTGAATTTTCTTCTGATACGTTCCCAGGGTGACTGGGAATGGGGTAGGGACCATACATCCTCAGGTCTAAACTGTTGTCTTGCCAGCGAATGCAAACGTACAGAGTTGAGGCCTCTAGTCATAAACATTGTAGTGGGGTGGAGGACTGCCATGCTTTGTTAGTTTCTGCATTTTGCTTTTTCTCATGTAAATTTTGAAAGTGATCTAACTGGGAAAGAAATTCTCTGTAAGGATTGGTTTATCAGAGAGATTGTTTTAGAGAATAAAGGAAAAGACACATAAAATACTGGGTTTTGCTTGATCTGTCAGCCCCCCCCCCCCCCCGGATGTAGATGAAAAAGTATGAGCTCAGAATCCAGGACCCTTGAGTTTGAGGTGGCAGGAACATTTTGGGGCCCACTTGTAAGATACAGCTACTGAATCCGGTACCTCTGAGAGGTTTAAATCTAAAACAATTTCGTCTTCAGATCCGAGTTCCCTTCCCTATTATGTTAAAACTGCCATTTTCCTCAGCTCCCTACTATTCTTCAAGAATTTTCTTTGATTTGTGAACTCGGGAACTGGATCTAAACTCCATCTATCCATAGTTATTTGCAGGAATTTCAGAAGAAATAGGATGGTAATGGAGTGAGTGGTGAGGTTAGGTATAAGAATGACCTTATGAATGCTTTTAATTATAGAAGTATACAAATTTAGACAAAATACAGGATTAGGTGGCTAGTGAACATCTGAGTGCCCCCCCAGGAACTCCTTCAGAGGCTCTTGGCAGTAGGGAGAGATCTTTGGTAGGGACAGTTGCTTTCAGAAGAATAAGAGGTGGAAGCAGCCACTTTATTTAAGAAATGATTGAGGTTATAGAAATAATTTATAGATTCTAATCTTAACTGTGATATTAAGAACCCTGGGTAGGGGGGAGGGACTCCTGGGTGGCTCAGTCGGTTAGGTGTCTGCCTTTGGCTCAGGTCATGATCCCAGGGTCCTAGGATGGAGTCCTGCATCAGGCTCCTTGCTCCGTGGGGGCCTGCTTCTCCCTCTGCCTGCTGCTTCCCCTGCCTGTGCTCTCTCTCTCTCTGACAAATAAATAAATAAAAATCTTAAAAAAAACAAAAACCCAGTATCATGTAGTACATGCAGTATATAGCAAACACAGAGTGACCGACTAAATTCCTCTGATGAAGCACCTCAGTATAATTGTTGTTTAGCATCGTAGTCAAAAATTTTGAAGGCATTTTTTTTTTTCCTGAATCAGAATTCAGAGCTTGCTCCAGCTTTCTCTTCCTTCTCTTGTTCACTTTCTTTCCCATTCACTTCCTCATGATAGTTTTACCTGCTTTGGTATTTAGTGTGTGCAGCACAGGCTTCCCTTACTCCTGTATCGATTTAAGCTTGGTTCTTTGCCTTTTTTTTCCCCCCCAGCTCTGCCTGTTAGGTCCTTTAGCTTAATCATCCATGTCTGCTTGTACTAGATTGTTTCCCTAAGAACTCTGTAAGCCACGGAGTGAAACTGATTTGGATTTTACAGCCCTGGTGATTTTCCTTCTGGTGTACTCCCAAGAAAATGCTACATAGCACAGGAGCTGATGAATCATTTTGTAGGGCTTTTGCTTTCTATTTTGTATTTGAAAAATTAGGTATGATCATGAACCTGGAAATGTCTCTTAAAATCATGAGGATAATACAACCGTAAGATAAAATCATCAGTGTTAGTTTTCGGCTCTGATTAACGTAATATATTGTGGTTTTTGAGTAACTTGAGTTCCCCAATAAACATTTCATTCATGTGAAATTTCATTTTTCTACATTTTCATTGCTGGTACTGGAAACTCACTAGAATTACTTGGCACCCACTGCTCTGTGTCTGGCGTTGTTCTGGGGACCTTACACCTGTTAGACCATTAAATCATCACAGCAGGCTTGTACTGTAGGTCTGGATTCTCCCATTTTACTGAAAAGAGATCGAAGCCGAGCGTGTTGAAGTTAACTTTTCATATGCCACTCAGCTAGTAAGGCTCAAAGCTGGAATTTGATCTCTGTGTGTGTGTGGTCCTGATTACAACAGTCTCCTCAATTGGAACTAGACATGGAACATTTTAAGGCTTCCTTTTGGATTTGGACATTCATATGGATAAGAAATGAAGCTAACTCTTATTGGTTGAGATGGTAGGCTGTTGGGAATTAATTCAGCTTGGTATTGAGTGTAATCTCTGGCAAGATCCCAGGCTTCTGTCACATAGTTATGCCAGATAAAGGGTTGCCTTGATCATCAATAATTCCATTTCTACATAGTATAATTCCATTGTCTAAGGGGATGACTTGTGGGAAAATAAATTCATTGAGGTCATAGTGTGTATTTCCCCCAGCTTATTTGAAGCATCACTGGCATGGTTATTTTATCTTCTCATCCTTGGCATTTGATTCAGGGCCATGATTTCCAAAGCTGGTCTCTTGGCTGGGTTCCAACATCTGCCATTTGTTCCCACCTTCTCCTCCCCGTTACATACCTCCCCACTGATAGTAGCTTCTGAATCCAATCTCCCTCTTCTTCAGTCTGTCCTAAATATTGCCAATCATAGTAATTTTTTCACAATACTAACTTTGCCTCAGAATGCTATTGTGCTACGTGTCATACTCTATGATTCCACTTATATAATGTTCTTGAAATGACAAAATTATAGAGATGGAGAATTGATTAGTGTCTGCCTGGGGTTAAGGGTGTTGGGATGAAGGGAGACAGGTTTGACTCTAATGAGGGTAGAATGAAGGAAATCCTTGAAGGATCAAATAGTTTCGTATCTTGATGTACGATAGTGAGTACATGATGCAAATGTGATAAAATAACCTAAAACTATATGCAAACTTTATCTGATGTCGATTTCCTGCTTTTGATATTATACTATCGGTATATAACATGTAATTATTGGGGGAATCTGGATAAAGGCTACATGAGACCTCTCTGCTATTGGTAAAACTTCATGTGAGCCTGTAATTCTATAAAAATAAAAAGTAAAAAAAAAATACTATTGTGCTTTAAAATGTTTAAGTTCCTCTGTCATATTTACAAACATTAACACAATGTTTGTCTTTTATCAGATTACCAAGAAATGCTTTTTGAATTAATTAAACTATTAAATATACTTTATGAAAAACAGTATATCAGTACTTGGTCTCATTACTAACCATCTTGTTTTCCTACTCACTTCCTTATTCATTCTTGTCTTTGTGTAATCTCTTTCCATGGACTAAGCAGCATGCCAGGGGTTTGATTGGTAGAGTCTGGAAGACTTGGGCTTGCTTGAAGGGGTTGCATTGCCTGTGGCCACGGTCACATAGCCCAAAGTCCACTCACAAATTCTAAAAGGCAGTGGCTCTTTGAGGACTTAAGACTTAGTGTTTATAAGAGCCAGATGAGCCAGGAAACCAGGATATGAGCTACAGTGAACCACAACCATCCAAGCATTCACGTTTACTAAGACTAGTTTTATAGTGCAGTATATGATCATTCTTGGTGATCATTCCATTTATGTGTACCTGAAAAGAAAAAAGATAACTCCACAGTTACAGTTTTTTATGAAAATCTGTTTTAGATCTTCTATGTCTTTAATGATTTGGTGTGGGGGGGGGGTCTAGTTCTATTAATTACTCAAACTATGATTGTGGCATTGTCCATTTCTCCCTTTATCTGTCAGGTTTTGCCTCATGTATTTTGAAGGTCTGGTATCAGGTGCATACACATTTATGATTGTTGTGCCTTCATCCTGATAAATTCACCCTTTTATCCTTATGAAGATCTCTTTCTATCTTTGTCTTTAAGTCTTTGTTATTAATTTAAACACTTGAGTCTTATGCTCACCATTTGCATGGTATAACTTTTCCTTCCTTTACTTTCAGTTATATTTAATGTGAATCTCTTAAAGACAGTATAGAACTGGATCTTGCCCTTTTTTTTTTTTAATCCATTCTAGCCATCTTTTCCTTTTATTCAGTGTAATTCAGCCATTAGCATTAAATGTAATCCTTGCTACAATTAGATTCTGGCACCATTTACTGTTTGTTTTTTATTTGTCCCTTCTGTGTTTTGTTCCTCTGTTCTTGCCTTCTTTTGGATTAAATGTTCCAAAATGATTTTAGAATTCCACTTTCATCTATCTGTTGTTTTGTAATGTTTTTTTTTGTGCTTGTCCTAAGGATTACAGTATATCCTTAGTTTTTCTTAGGGTTACTGTTTAGGGTTAGTATTACAACATTTTATATAAGATGTAAGAACCTTGAAACTGTATATGACAATTTAACCCCTCCCTGACATTATGCTGTAATTGTCATGTGTCTTACATTTACATATTTTATAAATCCCACAGTGAAGTGTTAGAACTTTTACTTTAAACAGTCATGTATTTTTAAAACATTAAGAGAAAA